CGAGAGGCGCGTCGCGGTCCGTGAAGGCGTGAGTAAAGACAAGACGAAGAGGCGACACGGGCGCGGCGGTCGAAGCGCCGAGCGCGGGCGCCGGGAAAAGCGGAAGCAGGGGAACGGGCACAGGACCAGATTAGTCGTCTGATACCATGATAGAGAGTTAAGCTAACAGGCTTTGGATGATGATTGATAGATTGCAGAGTGTTTACATATATAGGGATTACAGGAGGGTGGCCCAAGGGGCCAGCCGAGTGTGAAAGGGCCTGTCCAGCCAAGCACAGGAAGCTAGGGGATTACATAAAGGAGTAATTAATTCTAACAACTAGTATAACAGATGTCATAGTTTGATGACTTATCCAGATGTGCATAGTTTAACCTTTTCTGTTTGTCTGACTCGGAGAATCCAACGTTTTGTCTTTATTTAATCAGGGGATTAGGAGTAGTTAGTTATATGTGCTCTAGTTTTGGCGCATCCCCAGTGGATGCACATCCATTTTCAAGGGGGGGGGGAAGGAATGCTATAGACTGCTACTAATAAACTACAAATCATCTCATATTGATGCAGTACCTTGTAGTGTTGTATCTCATATTACAAGTAAGGAAAGAAACAATATGTTATATCCATGTAGTCACAGCTTTTCATTCTTTGTTTTTGCAGGAAAAAATTCGGCTTGCCCTGGTTGTGCAGAAGGCTGCCATCACCTTCATTGATGGTATTACATAACTGCTTCTGCTTGTCTTACAGTTTATTTTGCTGCTTTACTAACTTCCATCTAACTTTTGAACCATCTGGTGGTGTTAAAGGTGCCAAGCATAAAGACTATCGGATAACCGAGGATATCATAAAAGCTGGATTTTCCATAAATCCAGATGAACTGGCATCGATCACAAGCAAGCATTATGTGAAAGCTTTGAAGATGCACGGTGGTGCAGACGGGATATCCAAAAAAATCCGATCGTCATTCGACCATGGCATATCTGGCAGTGACCTAGACACAAGGCAAAACATCTATGGCGTCAATCGCTATGTGGAGAAGCCTTCGAGAAGTTTCTGGATGTTTGTTTGGGATGCGTTGCAGGACATGACTCTTATCATTCTTATGGTGTGTGCTTTGGTATCTGCTGTTGTGGGTCTGGCATCTGAAGGTTGGCCCAAGGGCATGTATGATGGCTTGGGAATAATACTCAGTATTTTGCTGGTCGTGATGGTTACTGCTATCAGTGACTACAGGCAGTCGCTTCAGTTCAAGGAGCTAGACAATGAGAAGAAGAAGATTTTTATCCATGTAACCAGAGATGGCTCTCGGCAGAAGATCTCTATATATGACTTGGCGGTTGGCGATATCGTGCATCTATCAATTGGAGACCAAGTACCTGCCGATGGACTGTACATTCATGGATACTCCCTTTTGATTGATGAGTCCAGCTTGTCAGGTGAGAGCGATCCAGTTTATATTTCTCAAGATAAGCCGTTCATCTTGGCAGGAACTAAAGTTCAGGATGGATCAGCTAAGATGATGGTAACCGCTGTTGGTATGCGCACTGAATGGGGAAGGTTGATGAGCACATTGAGTGAAGGAGGAGAGGATGAGACGCCGCTGCAGGTTAAGCTAAACGGAGTTGCAACCATCATTGGCAAGATTGGCCTGATGTTTGCCACATTAACATTTGTGGTCCTCATGGTTAGATTCCTTATTGAAAAAGGTTTAACAGTTGGTTTGTCCAAATGGTATTCTACTGATGCACTGACTATAGTAAACTACTTTGCAACGGCAGTCACTATTATTGTCGTTGCTGTTCCTGAGGGGCTGCCTCTTGCTGTTACTTTGAGTCTTGCATTTGCAATGAAAAAGCTAATGAATGATAAAGCACTTGTAAGGCATCTTTCAGCATGCGAGACAATGGGATCTGCTGGTACCATCTGCACAGATAAAACAGGAACTTTGACTACTAACCATATGGTTGTTGACAAGATATGGATATCTGAGGTCTCAAAGTCAGTTACCAGTAACAGTAGTTTGGAAGATCTGACTTCTGCCATCTCTCCAGTTACATTGAGCCTACTTTTGCAGGGCATTTTTGAGAACACAAGTGCAGAGGTAGTCAATGAGAAGGATGGTAAGCAAACTGTTTTAGGAACTCCAACAGAAAGGGCAATATTTGAATTTGGCTTGAAATTGGAAGGTCTTGATGCTGAGGATAGGACCTGCACCAAGGTTAAGGTTGAGCCTTTCAATTCGGTTAAGAAGAAGATGGCAGTGTTGGTCTCATTACAAAATGGCGTGTACCGTTGGTTCACCAAAGGTGCGTCGGAGATTATTGTGCAGATGTGTGACATGGTGATAGATGGCGATGGAAACAGTGTTCCCTTGTCAGAAGCTCGGAGAAAGAATATCTTGGATACTATCAACTCCTTTGCTTCGGATGCTTTAAGGACACTGTGCTTGGCGTATAAGGAAGTGGATGATTTCAATGATGATGCAGATAGCCCAACAAGTGGCTTTACTCTAATATCCATTTTTGGCATCAAGGATCCTTTGCGCCCAGGAGTCAAGGATGCTGTGAAGGCCTGTATGTCTGCCGGTATCATTGTGAGAATGGTGACTGGTGATAATATCAATACAGCTAAAGCTATAGCCAAAGAGTGTGGAATACTAACTGATGGTGACGTAGCAATAGAAGGATCAGAATTCCGCAGTAAGAGCCCAGAAGAGATGAGGGACATAATACCTAAGATTCGGGTTCATTTCACTTCCCTCAACCTATGGTTACGCTAATATCTATTAAGATTTCATTTTTCTCAATTTTAATTGTCTTTCAACATTGGCAGGTCATGGCTCGTTCTTTACCATTGGACAAGCATACCCTTGTGACAAACTTGCGAGGTATGTTTCGTGAGGTGGTTGCTGTGACAGGTGACGGCACGAATGATGCTCCAGCATTACATGAAGCAGATATTGGCCTTGCTATGGGCATAGCAGGAACAGAGGTACTAGGTTATATTGCATTGATTCATGGATGACAAGAATACATAGATTGTGATTCAATGGTTGGAAAGTTGGTCAAAATAACCTATCTAGTTATTTTTATATCTTAATCTTAGGTTCCATGATTCAAATAGTTTGCCTTCATGGTCTCACAAAAAAACAATCTCAACGATACTCATCTCTGCTATTCTTACTGTTTGAATCTCATGCTGACTGAATACTGGGCTGGTGGCATTAGGAGTTTAGAACTTCTCACTTACAAGGGCTTCTCCTTCAGCATCTCACCATGTCCCTTGAAATATAATGTTATAAACTTACATATTTTCAGGTTGCCAAGGAGAGTGCTGATGTGATAGTGCTTGATGACAATTTTACAACTATAATAAATGTTGCGAGGTGGGGTCGTGCGGTTTACATAAACATCCAAAAGTTTGTGCAGTTTCAGTTGACTGTCAATATTGTTGCTTTGGTCATCAACTTTGTTTCAGCATGTATTACAGGTATGGGCACCATCTACAGTATTCTTTCTCCAATACCAGTATGCCACAGTCGTTCAATTAGTGAATTCTTGATATCCCTATTGAAATAATAGTATTTTGACTCTCGTATCACAGGCAGTGCTCCTCTCACAGCGGTGCAACTGTTGTGGGTCAATATGATTATGGATACATTAGGAGCTTTAGCTCTAGCAACAGAGCCTCCAAATGATGACATGATGAAGAGGCCGCCTGTTGGGCGAGGGGAAAGTTTCATTACCAAAGTCATGTGGAGAAATATCATTGGGCAAAGTTTATATCAGTTGGTTGTACTTGGAGTTCTCATGTTTGCTGGGGAACAGTTTCTGAATATCAAGGGTGCAGATTCCAAATCTGTTATCAATACACTCATATTCAACTCCTTTGTGTTCTGCCAGGTGAGCTCATTATAACTGTTATCAATTTACTTTCGTTGCTAGTGCAGCAGTGCCTACATCTACTTCAAACATTTTATTTGATTTACCCTAGCTTACATTTATAACTTGTTTGTCTCAATCGTAAACAAATAATAGTGTTATATGCAGTCTCTGCTTGGGGAAAGATGTCTCCAGTTAAGACATTTTCATATGGTAATGTCTGATCAGTGATTACATATATGATCTGATGAGCTTGAAATTATGTTGTCTCAGGTGTTCAACGAAATAAACAGCAGGGAAATGGAGAAGATTAATGTTTTCCGTGGTATGGTCACCAACTGGATCTTTATTGCAATCATAGCTGTGACAGTCGTATTCCAAGTGGTGATCATAGAATTTCTCGGCACTTTTGCAAGCACTGTTCCACTTAACTGGCAGCTTTGGCTTCTAAGTGTTGGCCTTGGATCGGTCAGCTTGATTGTTGGTGCCATCTTGAAGTGCATACCAGTTACCAAATCAAATGAACCTCCTGCAAGTCAGAATGGCTATGCACCACTTCCCAGCGGCCCTGATGACATATAGCTGAAGAAGAAGAGTGATGGAAAAGGAGTTGCATTTGATAGAGCGGGTTCGTGAGAACCCCAAACGGGCCACGGCCACCTTCGATTTTGTGTCATGTTTGGAACAAGTAATAAACCACTGTCTAGGCTCAGTTTTAGCAGACTGTTATATCTTTTGTCCTGCAATTACACGTTTTTTCCTGTTTGCTGTTGCTGCTGTGTAAAAAAAGATGGTGATGAACACAATGCAAGCACTGTTTTCTTGGGTCATGGCCCTCATGGAAACGAAGTTTTCTTGACTAATCCAAGTACACTTACTTTGTAGGAAGAAAAAGCACATTTACTTGACTAGCAAAATTCGAATTTACATAGCTGAACACCTCTTTATTAAACTTTAAAGTGGAAATACATAGTAACAGAAACATTGCAACGTTGTCTAATAAAAACCCAGAAACATTGCATCAGCAGTAGGATCATGAATTCATGATCGAAGTGACATTAAGCTGCTAGTCACCGAACTCTACAAAACCCTAAACCACTGGATATCAATTCCCTAACAATTTATCAACTTGCGTCAGTATCGCCTTTCGGATCGTCGTCGTCGTTCTCTTGCACACCGTCACTGGGCTCTGGTTTCGGATCGTTGTTCTCTTGCACACCATCACACATGGTCTGTAGAACTGAGAAGGCGTTACTATTACTGTCCATGATCCATCCATCGTCCAGCTGCAGCAAATGTTCCACGGTAAACACAAAGTCAGAGTCTTCCAGCTTCAAATCTTGCGCGGTAAACTCCAAGTCTTCTGTAACCATCTCCAATCGCTGTGGCTCGTCGTCGGCCCTGATGTATACGCCGCCATGGACGCCGGCGCAGTGGTATTGGCAATCCCCGTCGACTTGTTCCATCATGGGTTGGTGTTGCCAGTGGCCAATGCTTCTGCTGTCAGATCGGTCACCGGCGCAGCAGCAGCAGCAGCATGGGACGACGTGGTGGCATAGGAGGAGCACCTGACATCCGGAGGCGCTGGCGCCGGCGCAGCAGCGGTGGTGGCATAGTAGGAGGAGGAGCCCCCGACATCGGGCGCCGCCGTCTGGCGCGCCGGCGCGCGCTGCCGCTGCCTCTTGTTGCACGGGACCGGCACGTCGTTGGCCTCGAGCTGCTGCTGGCGGTCGTCTCCGTCCGCCACCGCCGCCGCCTTGGGCCTGAGGTGCAACCTGCAGAGCACCTTGACGCCGTCCTCGCCGGTGGCGTCGTTCCGGACGGTGCCGAACTCCTCCATGAGCCACGCGGTCTTGCCGCCGCCGGCGGGGCGGAACTCGAAGGACTGGCGGTACCCGGCGCCGCGGACGGGGATCCGCTTGCCGGACCCGTGCCACGTGCCGAGTGCCCCGACGGCGCGGTTCATCCGCTTGCTTCTAGCGTTGCCGTCCTTCCAGCGAGCGACGGAGAGGAAGTACCAGTTGCCGTCGTCGTGGGCGATGTGCTGGAAGCGCGACGCCAGCGTGCCGGGGTCCTCGCCGTACACGTCCGCGGCGGCCATGATGCCGTAGAACTCGCCGGGCGACTGGTGGCCGGGCTCGAGGTAGCACTGGATCAGCTCCCGCGGGGTCGGCTTGAAGCGGTACCCCGGCGGCGCGTTCACGTTCGGCCACCGCGGTGGCGCGTGCTCCTCCATCTCTCCCGCCGCCGCCGCCGCCGCCGCCGTTCTTGGTGGACGCGCGCGTGCGTTCGTGGGCGTGGACGGCGCGTGGCGTTGCCTGTTCGTTTGGTCGTGGCTTATCGGTAAACGATCCTAAATTTTCAGTCGAAACAGTACTTTTCTCTCGCACAAACTGACAGCCGTACTTCTTTACGGACGTGCAACGAAAAGAACCAGCCAACCGAACAGACTGATACTATAGCGCCCCCCGCGTGTCCGATACCCATTGATTTTTTTTATTTCTAACTTTTTAAAAACTATTTTCAAATCTAACACTTTTGGTTACGTCAAAGTCCGTGGCGCAGTCAAAACACGTTGTCGCACCACATGCATCGGCGCGGCACGATCTGCCATGTCGGACAGCGATTTTCACGCGGAAATCCTTGCCGCGCGGCAGCACTATAGCGCAACGTCATCCAGACTAGCGCGGCAAGGCGTAACCTTAGAAAAATTATATCTTTTTCATACGATCTCGAATAAAGATGATCTTTATATGAAAATTATAGCTCTCAACGAGATCTACAACTTTATAGTTTTGAGGTTTTTTATTTGAGGTTATTAAGATGCTAAAAAATTAAACAAAATTTTAGTTGTATATTAATCGCGTACCAACGCTGTCGTCTTGGAAAAATCATATCGTTCTTATGTGTCAAATAAAGATACTTTCTATATGAAGTTGTAGCCCTCGATGGAATCTATAAATTTCTAATTTTGAGTTTTTGTATTTGAGATCATTAAGATGCTTAAGAAAAATAATATAAAGTTTCAACATCGTTTAATCGCGTACAAGCACTTATGGTCTTCGAAAAATCATATCTTTCTTATACGGTGTCAAATGAAGATACTTTTATATAAAACTTATAGTTTTCGATGGGATTTACAAATTTATAGTTTTGGATTTCTTCATTTGAGATCATTAAGATGCTCAAAAAAATAATATAAAGTTTTAGCATCGTATTAATCGTGTACAAGTACTTGTCGTCTTAGAAAAATCATATATTTCTTATATGGTGTCAAATAGAGATACTTTCTATATGAAAGTTATAACTCTCGATGGAATCTACAAATTTATAATTTTAGATTTTTACATTTAAGATCATTAAGATGCTTAAAAAATAATATAAAGTTTTAGAATCGTATTAATCGCGTACAGGCACTCGTTGTCTTAGAAAAATCATATCTTTCTTATATGGTGTCAATTGGAGATACTTTCTACATAAAAGTTGTATCTCTTGATGAGATCTACAACTTTATATATAATTTTAAATTTTTCCATTTGAGGTCGTTATCTTGGGTGCGCGACGTGACTAGGCATCTTTAAAACAAACTTGAACAAGTGTTAAATTCCCACGCGGCACTGTCACGGTATGTGACAAGCTCGAGTTCACAATTCAAATTCTACCCAAAGAATTTTAGATCAAATAAATTATTGAGTTTCCTGAGACAGAGTTGAGTCTAGTTCACCACCTAAAAGTTCGATAAGATCTACAACTTTAAAATTTGATTTTTACATTTGAGATCATTAAGATGTTAAACAATAATATAAAGTTTTAGGAGTATATTAATTAAGTACTTGAGTTTAATGCCTCATAAAAATCTTTTCGGGTGCGTGCCACAAGTACTTGACCATTAGTTAAAGAGAAAAGTACCATTTTTTATATAAGAAAATATAATGAGAGAATACGGTTACACTAAGTAATAAAAGTAATATGTTAAAGTTATAGTTTAATTTCTAAGTTTATTAGATCTCGCCAATTTTACAATTAACGATGTCTATTGTTGCGTAACTTTTTTTCACCATTTTTACGTAAAACTTTTATGCCAAACGATGACGAAAGTGTAGTGAGATAGTAATAATACATGACTAAACTATCTACCATTAGCCTAACAAATCAATCATTTTCATCCGTTTTTTTGGTACTACTTGAATTCTTGAGTCGACTTTCGATTAGTAATCAGTCACATCGCGCGCCGAAGATAACGACATCAAATAGAAAACTCAAAACTATAATTTTGTAGACCCCATCGAGGACTGTAACTATCATATAGAAAGTATCTCAATTTAACGTCATATAAGAAAGATATAATTTTTCTAAGACGACAAGCGCTTGTATACGATTAATACGATGCTGAAACTTTATTTTATTATTTTTTAAGCATCTTAATGATCTCAAATGCAAAAATCCAAAACTATAAATTTGTAGATCCCACCGAGAGCTATAACTTTCATATAGAAAATATCTCCATTTGACGCTATATAAGAATGATATGATTTTTCCAAGACAACAGTGCATGTACGCGATTAATATGATGCTGAAATTTTATATTATTTTTTAGCATCTTAATGATCTCAAATGCAAAAACTTAAAACTAAAAATTTATAGATCCCATTGAGGGCTACAACTTTCATATAGAGAGTATCTCCATCTGACACCATGTATGAACGATATGATTTTTCCGACAAACGCTTGTACGCGATTAATATAATACTGAAACTTTGTTTAATTTTTTTAACATCTTAAGGACCTCAAATGAAAAAACTTAAAACTAGAAAGTTGTAGATCTCGTTGAGAACTATAATTTTCATATAAAGTCCGTGGCGTGGCAAGGATTTTCACGTGAAAATTGCTATCCGACGTGGCAGATTGTGCCGCACCAATGCATGTGGCGCGGCTGCATGTTTTGGCCGCATTACGGACTTTGGCGTGGCCAAAAGTGTTATATTTGAAAATAAAAAAAAACGGTGTTAGATTTAGAATTTGTTTTAGAAAAATGTTAAAAATAAAAAAAATCCTTAGGGGATCCGAGTTGGAAAAGAATAGCGGGACAAAAATCCGTTTTTTTTTCTTTTTTTGTGGGCTGGGCCGGGTCAGGTGAGCAATGAACGGTGAAAAGGGCCGCGGCCCATTTGTATCTCCGTTTGCCCAATCGTCATCATGGGCCGGCTACACAACACAGCCGAAGCAAAAAGAAATAAACCTGAAACAAACCAAATTCTTCACCTGTTCCTGTATCTGTGTCAGCTCGGGTTTTTGCTTCCGTCGTCGTCTTCGATTCGTGCGGCGGCGGCGTCGCCGCGGCGGTGAGGGAAGCGGGCGAGACGAGGGATCAGCCTCGATGGGGAAGCAGAAGGGTCGCGCGTCCAGCAGCGGCATGGCGGCGTCGCTGGTGCCGCACGCCCAGGGCGCCGTCCCCACCGTCGGTTTCGGCGGCTACCATGGCGCCGTCCGTGTTGAGCCCGCTGCGCCCTCCGACCCAGACGCCCCGATTCGCCTTACCCCAGTATGCCCTCTCTCTCTCTCGCTCTCTCTCTGTCTGTCTCTCCTTAGTTCATCACTAGTGGAATAGTTTTTCATATTAGCTTTGTGGGAGGGATACTTCGGCCCCAAAATTTGGTGCTTCCTATCTGCGCAGCCAGCATCTAGTATTTATTAGTCCTCTGTGGTAGCAATTAGACGTATTATCTTTCAGTTTTAGCATCGGTAGGGAGTTGGACCTAAATTTGTATTTGTAGGTGTAATAACAGTATAACACAATATCTTTCATTCTATTTGGTATCATAAACAACATGCACACGCTATACCTATCTGTTTGAGTTCAGCAGCATCTAGCGTCACATGGTACCACTAACAGCCTTTGAGTTCACTAGCTCTGGTTTTAGTTTGCCTCAGTTTGTGGCTTCAGGCTCATTGGCATTCTCATACCTTATTTCTATGATTATATGAAGGATGTGGATGGTGAAGTGCTTCAGAACCTAAAGAGGCTAGGAAGGAAAGATCCGACAACAAAGGTCAGATTGCTAGTCATATTCCTTCCGCAGGCCTTTATTTTTTCCCTCAATATATTGTATGTCATATTCCTTTCATAGGCTTTCCCCCCCTCAATATATTGTATACTAGCACTTGTGCTGAGAATATTTAGTTAAGATCCTTTCATCATACCATTTTTTCTGTCAATTGCTCAATTTTTATATAACAAGAATTTAGTCCTCCTTACACAAATTCATGCAATAAAAGAGAGTAGCTGTGCTGTTAAGTCTGAGGTTTTCAGAGGAGATGCTACAATTTCCAAATAACTTCTGTTTTCTCCTACCATTTTCTTCCTAGAATGTTACACCCTTTCTGCATTGAAAAAAATGAAAAAGCATCTATAACATTGCTGCTGTACTGTACTACGTGTTTTCTTAAAGAAGCCGCTTTACTATGCATTACCTTTCTCTTTTCTATCTTGAATGCAGCTCAAGGCCTTATCTGCTCTCTCTACACTCTTTGGACAAAAACCTGGTGAGGAAGTTGTGCAGATTGTTCCACAATGGGTATTTCTTTTCTCGATTCCTCTGTTGCATTTTCATCCTGATCTTATATTGTCATGGTCCTTATCAGAGTAAAACTGGCAACTTTCTTATGCCATACTTTGTCCAATTTTCATGTCTTTATGAGAATATGTCTAGTACTCTAATGTCAAAGTAAATATTCATTTTCTGGCATACACATATTTATATGGTATATATGGAAGGTTTTGTATCATAACCTAATACTCATGTGGAGCTCTAGTTTCCTACAATCAAATGGCATAAGGACTTGTAGTCTCTTTGTTGGTGTGAGTATATTGTTTCCTTGTAATGCAGCAATGCCTTAGGTTTGTTGCTGACTTGTTAAATGAGATCCTATGAATGCAAGACTAGCGTTTAGACTTTCTGCTGTATCTCATGTTAGTTCTATATTTGCTTATGTTCCTAGTAAGGTTGAATACTTGTTAATGTGAAGAAAGGGAAAGGATAACATGGTTTGATACTATATCTTCTTTCTATTTAGGCATTTGAGTACAAGAGGCTGCTACTTGACTATAACAGAGAAGTTCGCCGTGCTACTCATGAGGCCATGTCTAGCCTCATCACAGCAGTCAAGTATGCCCATCTCCTTCCATTCAACTGAGGTCCAACTGGTCTATGCTGTTTATTTCTGGTTCCTTTGTTG